CAGCGCCTCACCTCACCCGGAGGAGCCTCCGGCTCTGCGCGCTCCGTTCCCCGAGCAGGAACTCAACGGGGCTCCGCGGTTCCGCCGCTCGCTCAGCACCGCCGCGGCGGACAGCTCCGCTGGGCAGCGCTCTGTCCGTCTGTCCCTCTGTCCGTCCCTCTGTCCGTCCTGCCCGCGCTCTGTCCGCACCGCACCGCGCTCTGTCCGTCCGTCTGTCCGTCCGCACCGCGTTCTGTCCCTCCCACACCGCGCTCTGTCCGCCCCGCGCTCTGTCCGTCTGCACCGCGCTCTGTCCGTCCGTTTGTCCGTCCGTCTGTCCGTCCGCACCGCGCTCTGTCCGTCTGCACCGCGCTCTGTCCGTCCGTTTGTCCGTCCGTCTGTCCGTCCGCACCGTGCTCTGTCCGTCCGCACCGCGTTCTGTCCCTCCCGCACCGCGCTCTGTCCGTCCGTCTGTCCGTCCGCCCGCGGCGCTGGGGAGTCTCAGGGGCGCTGTCCCCACGGTCGGGAGAGCCCCGCTCTGCAGCTCAGCCCAGGTACGGGTATCCCTTTCCCCGCTTCCCCACCCCACTGATCTTCGGAGCCGCGATTTTCACAGCAAGAGAAACTGAGGCACCAAGAGTGTGTTTTAAAGCAGCGCTGAGGGCCCTCAGCATCCCCAGGCTCGTTTTTTCCTCTGCTCATTTTTACCACCCCCTCTCCTCTGCTCCACAGAAGTCAGGCTGGTCACTCACCTGTCCCTGCAGACCCGGCTGCCCACTGGGCAGGACCCCGTGGGGGGCTCTGAGATGCTCCAAGGACATGCTCGGAGTGACACTGGGGACGAGGAGCTGCGTGGGGATCGTTCCAGGAGTGACAGTGGGGACGAGGAGCTGCGTGGGGATCGTTCCAGGAGTGACAGTGGGGACGAGGAGCTGTCTGGGGATCGTTCCAGAAGTGACAGTGGGGACCAGGAGCTGCCTGGGGATCCTTCCACGGAGTCTGTTGCCCGTGGGAGCTGGGTTTTGTTTCTCACCCAAAGCGTTTGATCCGTCTCTGCTTGGCAAAACACAAGTCACAACCATCACTTAATTTTGTTAATACCCTCCACACCAAGAGCTTTCCTCTGGTTGCCAGTAAGAAATGGGGACAATATCCAAAATCCTAATATTCATTTTTATAACTCCAAATACTGTCAGAACTGATGGTCAGCTTGGATTCAAGTACTTACATTTGCTTCAGAAAGGAAATTGAAAGCAGGAGAAATTCACAGCAACAGCCTCATGTACATGTGTGAAAGAGGCTTCACGAGAATCATTTATGGACTGACCAGCTATGTAAATAGATACACACTGAGATTGTTATAARCTGTTGTTTGTGTTCCAGACATACAAAAGGCCTCAGCCAAGTCTGAGGYCCCATTGTGCATCCTCTCCACATGGCCAGAGTTAACCCAAAATCCCAACATCCACCAGGGAATGTGCCCCACATTCTCCCTCTCACCTGCAATGGACCTGAGGGATCTTGTTCAGTGACACCCCAGGGACAGAGAGTCCTCAACAGAGTCACAAGCTCACAGGAGCAGCAGCACTTCCCACTGCACATTGTGCTGCCAGCACTTACTAAACTTTGTGGGCACATTTGCACAGTTGCATTATTCCTTTAGCACAGTTTCCTTGGCAAACAGACTCCATCTCTGTCTTTCCTCAGCAGCATCACTCCCTCCCAGCACCACYTCACTGATCTGCCCTTCTCACCTCTGGTTTGGAAGAGGGACTGAAGTCTTTGTGATAATTTAGTTCCTGCTTGGTTTGGGAGCTGTCTGAGGTGAGGAAGCTCAGCAGAGCACGGAGCAGACACAGATCCCAATTTCCTGCCTCCCTTCTTGTCTGCAGGAGTTTGCTCAGAAGAGATGGAGGAGTCAGGGGTTGTGGAGGTGATGGGGCAGGAAACCAAACCTGCAGGAAACCAAACCTGCAGGAAACCAAACCTGCAGGAAACCAAAGCTGCAGGACACGAAGCTCCATAGGCTTGGCTGTCCACAGAACAGCTTTTGCTTCTTAAGCCTAAGCACCTGGAGAGCTGTGCTCAAGCCCAGCCCAGCACACTTTCAACACTGCTTTTCATGGCAGAGGCCAAGGCACAGAGAGTCTTCAAAGGAGCCCTTTTGACCTGGGATTTAACCAAAAGATTGTCTTTTAGAAACCAGTATTGGCCTGGAGCATAATTCTTTGCTGTGAATCCTACAGATATTGGAGTAGTCTTTGTTATCTCAAGTATCTAATTTTGTTTTCCAAGCTCTCCCTTATTCTTCCAGCAGCTGGAACATCTCCTTTAACAATGCAGAGTTSCAGACCTAGGAGCAAGCATTCCAAATTCCACCTCTGAAATGAAACTTACGGACTCTTTTTCTTACAAAGAACTTGAAAATGAAAGCAAAAAAGAAAATCAGATTACTGTGGCTCTTCAGAATCTGTATCTGGGCTCTTCTTCGGCCAAAGGAAGCTGAAGGGGAAGAAGATGCACACASGGGTTTTGTGCCCATGCCAGATCTGCCTGCTCTGCCCCAGCTCTCTCCTGCTCCCCAGCTGCTCCCTGGGATGTGGTGTCACTTCTGCACCAGCTGAGCAAGGGACAGTGCTCTGTGGTGTCCGTGCCCAGCCTCAGACCAGCATTTCTGAATTCCAGATGGTGGCAGAAACCTGAAACTCCTATCCCTCATACCTGAAACTCCTATCCCTCATATCCATTGCCAGAGAGGAAACTGCTCCAGCTCACAGCTCTTTACAGCCAGGATAAGAGCTGGGCTCCGTGAGCAAAGGTCCCTGTGTGTCACGGGGTTATCCCAAAGGAACAGCCGTGCTCACATCAAAGAGCAAATCCAGCCCAGCCCTGGCCTGTGCTGTCTCCTCCACGCCCCACCCCTGCCTGCTGTGCCCAACAAACACCTCTGGGCTCCCACCACACTCGGGACCCTTCAGACCCCACAAAACCTCAGCAGGGAGCAGCCAGATCCACCAAACACAGCACAGGGAAACTCGGGGCAGTGCAGCCTCACTTGTATTTCAGGAAAACATGTGGAAGATTTATTTCCACTAAAAATYCATCAATTTAAATAGAACTTTAGCTAGACCTTCAAATTTCTTCTAATTAACAGTCCCTTTGAAATCTATGAACTTTCTTTGCTGCTGCCTAGCTTTTCTGCATTAGACTATAAAAATGGTATTTCAAGGAAAAGTCGCTTTTGTGTGTGGTAATCAGACACCAGTTCATTATCAGGCTCAATATTYAAGCCAATTTTCGCTCCTCTTCTCTGAAGGACTGTCAGGCCAATAACTTTCTCCCCTTATCTTCCTACTCATTCCACTTCTTGGCACTGGTGTAATTGCTTTCCCACATTTCTTCACTCCACGGTTTGACARTTTTTAATGAACCTTCCACACCGTGGTTTTATCTAGCATTAATTCTGTCCCCTCACTKCCTCTCCCTGCTGCACGTTTGACCAGGCTGCAATCAGTCTTTGTTTGTGGAATAAAGCTGTGATTACAAAACAGTGATGGTGGCTCCCTAAGCAGCTCCGAGCCCCAGGCAGGACTCAAACTGGACATTTTCCCAAGCACAAACCCACTCAGAAACCCCTTTGCTTGCTGGCAACAAACACAACTGGAAATGAGACTCCTTTTGATGAAGATGCTTCTGAGGAGAGCTGCTGTCAGTGCTTCAGGGAGAACAACTCCAGCAGGAGCAGGGTGAGATCTGAACATCCTGCAGCACCACGTTCAGGGAGAGAAATGGAGGAACTGGGACATGACTTTCATCCTGACAGCAAAGGTGTCTGCTGCCAGTCAATGAATCTCCTTGTGACTTCAAGCTTTGTTGGGGAAAAAAAAGACAAATTCTAAGTGCCATGGAAATAAAAATATCCCATCACTTCATATTACCCTGTCACTCTGAACAATGCACTGCTTGGTTTTGGGACCACTTCTCACATGTCCATCTGATTTCTGAGTAGAAACCMACAGTGCTGAGTGCTGACACAAAAATCACAGCCCCTGGCCATTATCTAGTCATATGGAAAATATTCCACTGAGGAAATAACGTCCTTCACTGGAGAGCCTGAGTGATAAGCTGCAGGCASAAAAAGCAGAATCAAATCAGTGTCAAACCCACATTCACTCCAAAGACATGTGAGCATCTTACTTGTGCACAGTAAAAGTCATTTTGCCAACAGGCTTTGAGACTGTTGAAAAGCAGGAAGTACAACAAAAAGGGGACAAAACGGATTTTTACATCATGCACTGAGATGTACCAGAAGATGCCAACAGCCTGTGCTGAGATGCAGACCTGGAACAGGCAGGAGGCAGAACACARTGATTATACCTGAGCTGGTACTACAGCAGGGATATTTCTGTTTTACCCTGCCCAGCAGAGTTCTTGGTGGCAGAATCCTGTAGGGTTTGCACTTGTGCAGCTGTGTGTTGCTTCCTGGGTCTCCCATCTTTCTTTACCCCAAATCAGGTTTTTAGACCTCACGGTGTTTYGGCGCATCTCAAAAATTCTTCCTCAGCTTCTCCTTGCACTGCTGAGCCCCTGCAGAGCAAGACCARCACACAGCAGGTCCCAGAGGTGTCTGGGCCATTGCAACATTAAACAGGTCGTATTTTAAACTGGGACCCCTGAACCAGGGAGTAAGGAATTAACCCCAGCTCTCTGGCAAAAGATCTACAGTAAAGACAGATCTGCACCAAAAGCTTTGAGTTACCAATATCTGAATACTGCACCTACTTCCATTGTGAAGGGAAGCTCTTGGACAGGAGCATCCTTTGATTCAGCAGCMCATAATGCTCACTGTAGTACATACAGCAGCACAGTTCTCATGCTCTATTTCACAGCATTACAAATGAGCTGTTCTCYGAGCAGGAGAAATCTTCATATCAAAGATTCAAACACCACAGGCTTCSATGAAGCTGTCAAAAGGGATTATTTTAATTTTTGATATGCTTCTAAGTAGTCCAAGACTTTACACGTCACAATAGAATGTGAATCAGACTTTGATTCCTGAAGGAGGCAGAAGTCTCCAGAAGAGTCCAGGTGAAGGGAGGTTTGGAACACTGCACGTGGCAGACTCTTGCCAGAGCCCAGCAGTGATCCACAGAGGAGGGAATGCATTTCAAATGACTCTGTGCAGCAGCTGTACATAAATCTGCTCTCAGCTGGCAGAGCTGATCTCCCTGACCTGAGTGGGGTCACAAAGCACACACGGGCAGTGCCCGGCCCAGAGTGGCACCCATGGGCTCCACCAGAGCACACCCATACACCCATCCCCTTCCTGCCATCAGCCCCAGAGTGGCACCCATGGACTGCCCCAGGACACAAACACCCCACACTCATTCCCTTCCTGCCATCAGCATCAGCCCTCACAGGAACTTGTGCCATCGGGCTCTGAAGAATGAGAATTCACTCACAGCAGAAGGTGCAACAGCAGCTGCTCTAARAGGGCTTTTACTCCTCCAGGAGAGCAGAGCGTGGGGAATGAAGCCCCTCTCCCCCACTGTCCCCAAAAAAGGAGAAGCAGAACATATGCACACAGCCCACTGATTTCTGCTGAGGTGGCCCAAAGCCAGCAAAGTGTAAAGCAGCCTGGAACAGCTCTGAAAGCACATCTCAATTAATGCCGTGGGAAACAATGTACAGACATTTGCATTTCTAGGGCCAGGAACAAAGTATACAGCAAAATGAGTTGGAAATGGCATTCTCTGCTCAGTGCACATCCCAGAACCAAGAAATGAACCTTCATCAGTGCTTCCCAGGGTAACTGAGCTCCTGGGGAGGTGTTTCACAGCAGCACTGGGTGACCCCTCAAGGCACAAAGGCAGGAGGAGGAGGAGGAGGAGGAGGAGGAGGAGGAG